CTTTGAGTCTTTTGTGTAATGGTCTTGAGGTTTCTCCTATATACAATTTATTGCATTCGCAAGGAATTTTATAAATTACATTTTTTGTATTTTCAATTATATCATGAGGTTCTGTTACTGAAATTTTACTTTTAATTGTATTTTCAGTTTTGAAGATAGTCCTAATATTAAATTTTTTACCTACTCGTTTAATTTGATCTGAAAGTCCTGGAATAAATGGAATGGAAAGGTTCGTAATAGGTTTATTTTGATTTTGTTTTGTTCGTGGGAATTAAATTTCGTTAAAACATTTTTCAATAAAAGAATTTGGATAATTATTGAAATTTAGAAAAATTTTCGGAAAATAAATGTTGCTCATTCTACTACATGTTTTGGACTGTTGTCTGAATGGCCGCGAAATTTTAAAAACTTCCCAATAGAGCACGAAATTCTTGAATCAATCGGAATTTATGCAGTTAATAACTAGAGCTTCCTCTATAAGTATGCCACATATCAGCCTTAGATCTGTGCTGGTTTGCGAACTGTGAATTTTTTAACCAAAATGCGCACATTTGGGTCTTTCACAACAACTCTTTGAATTTTCGTCTACTTATTAACCAAGGCTTTCTCTGGAAGTGTCCCAAATTACAAGCTTGGATCTAATTTAGTCTGAGCGCCATGCATTTTAAGCTTCAAAACGGTTGCAGAACCTCCTCCACACAGACCCTCCAAATTGATTGAAGTTTTGCACACTCAATAACTGAAGCTTGTTCTATAAACGTTGAAAATTTTAACTTTAAATCTAGTCGAATTTGAAATTTCTAAATGCTTATACAGATGCGTGCACCAACAACTGCTCTGTTCAATGGTTCCGCAATCTATTGACTTTTTCACTTTGGTGCGTTTGCGACTAATAATGTTTTCTATCTGAAAACGAGTTCTAATATTGAATTTTTGCCCTACTCATTTAAAGAGTATTGAAGTCCCGAATAAATTGGGTTTGAAACTGGTTTAAAAAAAAAAAAAACTTTTKTAAAACTTTTTKTACCTAAGTATGTGTATGAACAAGCTGTATTTTCGCGTGTTTTATGTGCGGATTTTCAATAAGCCGATTAAAAACTGCTCTTAATCGTATAAATATCGTTRCATGAAACCCMTTTGGTGYCGGAAACGGTGGCGTTTTCGGTTAAGGATTTGTGGAAAACASTGCTKTTTTTGATCAAGGTWTTSKCCGCACYTTTKASCCTTTTGCAAGTTGAAAAAATTACAAAAAAGCGATCTGTAAAATTGTGTTTTTGAACCCGTTCTCTAGTAACTTTTCTCTGCTTTGCAAACGTCGAGTCAACACTCTTTAAGAAACTAAAATTGTCGGCTCTAAAACAAAACCTAAATGCTCAATGGTTACGAATCGGATAGTAAAAACCCAATTTTGTAGAAACAATTACAACCTCATTAACGCATTTTTAGCAGGGTTCGTCAGCTTCAATCCGTTGTAAATAATGTGTGTAATAAACCTATTAACACTTTTCTCTTCCGATCATAATTTCTATTGTTTAAATGGCAAATATTCCAACGATTTTCTTCGCTTAAAGCTTACGATTACGATGACTGAGTTTAAATGAAAATTATCAAAAGTTTCTTTTTTCATCAACAGTGTGGCTGAACGGCGGTTGTTTGGATTTCTAGAATTTTGCAAATTTACGATGATCTTACTAGTGCTTAAGGCATATTTCAGTGCCAAATTGAGCTTAGGAAAAAGTTGCGAATTATATGAATCTTTCCCTGCCAATGAAGAACATTTGAAGATATATTTTCAAATCCATATATGGAGAACTTATTTCTACTTATAAAGAATTTTCCATTTTAACGCAAAAATCCCATAAAATTTATGGAAAATTATTAGTGGTCTTATTGCTTAACTTTCAAAGGCCTTCGGCCTTTGAGGCTCCAAACAGAAGTTTTGCAAAAAAGCTTCAGACTAAGGAATATGCGGGAAAAACTTTAGAGATTTACAAGAATTTTTCTCCATTTTTTGCCGCTGTGAAAGTCACTTTTCATGAATGTGCAAGACTGTTTTTACGTCAACACATGAAACCTAATTTTTCAAACTGTAATTTTGGACATTTTGAAACGCCTTTTGCAGCGCAATAAAAGGAAAGCGTTTTTAAACGAAAGTACTTACGCTTCGTGGTGAAAAAATCTAGATTCGAGCGAAAATGCGTAAATAAAAGCTAAAAAATTGACTGTTCAAAGTGGGTTTGCTCGCTGAAAGTTGCAATGTTGTGCATTGTTCAGCCCAGATCGATACACCTAGCAGAAGAATGGAATGAAATTCCTCATCAAAGTGAATCTGCGTAAACAAACACATACTTGTGTAGATTCTTGGAGGAACGCAGAGAAAAAGGGCGAGCAAATAAATTTGCAATTTTATATTGAAAAGACTTTGGGACTTATTCGTTTTATCTTTATTATCCTTGATACCTTTACAAGGAAATAATGGAAGAGCGGGCTCCGCCTACAAAAGTTGGCTCCGCCCCTGTAGGGGCCCGGTCCCCTTTGCCGAGCCGCCCACTGATGTCCCGTTTCGGCATCAACAACATATTCAGAATTCAGTATCAAATCAGTACTCATTAAATAAACAGTGCAGTGCGTCAAATTTTATCGTCTGCCCAAAAATATGTTAAATACTTTGGGCGCTGTCGGTAAGTTAGTGGGGGCATTAATTGACGTGAAAGTCTTTAGCGGTTCAGCATACTAACGATAGGCTAGTTAAATGGGCTAAATTGGAGCAGCCTCGCCCTCATTAAGGCAATATTATCGGGCTTCGCTGGTAGGCCAAACAATTAGGACATATACCAACGGGGCTCCGTAACTGTTCTGCCATGTTCAGTAGGGACGAGACGCGCGTTTCGCAAACATGATTTTTTCAATAACAACAATTTGCCTCTATTAATTGCTCATTCTCTATGGGCTGCTCCAATTCAACAGCCCAAGACAATCCATCAATCCCATTAAAGGCCCACCCATTCCATTTCAGGTATAAAAGATATGTGCGGTGAAGAGTTAAAGAGACATCAGGGTGATTTGAAAGTGTTAGATCAGCCGCGAATCTCTGGACTTTGCGACAATAATTTGGCCGGTATTAGTGGTCCTCTGAGCAACAGTAGTTCGAACGATGGCGAGAAACCGTCGAAGCAGAAAAGGCATCGGACCCGCTTCACTCCAGCTCAGCTCAATGAGTTGGAGCGATGCTTCTCCAAGACGCACTATCCGGACATTTTCATGAGGGAGGAAATCGCTATGAGGATAGGCTTGACTGAGTCGCGAGTACAAGTAAGAGCCCCTTTAAACTCACTTTTTCTCCTCACTCTCCAATAGGCTCTAAACTGAACACTTTTGCTGTTGAAACTTTTTCCTGACAAGCAACAGGATTTTAGCTTTTTTTTCCATAGCCATTCGGGACTTTAAACGGGGGGCTTTCAAGAAAGTACAACAAAGTGTTTTGAAATTGGTACAGTTTTCGGTCAACGGTTTGCGCAGGAAAACTTTGTTGGCCCAAGAAAACCAGTGTTTTTGTCGCAAACCGTGATGCCAAAAATTTCTGGAATCCTGATCGGTTTCATTAGAAACAGTTTTCCCTGATATTTACAAAAATCCGGAAAAAATTGGCATTAAATTGCACCATTTCATTGAGTTGATTGAAAACAATCAGTTTTCGGATTTTCACTATCGACATGTTCAAGCTCGCATCTTTCTTGAATAAGCATAATAAAGATGGTATTAAAGTTCACTGACCAATTTGGACCAACTTTGGAACTGAATAACTTTTGATTGCTTACGGCGATCCTATTTCTGTTTGAAGCGTCGTTTAGTGCAATTATTTCTCGGTTAGAGTGTGATTTTGCAGAAAATTAGTCCTGCAATCACAATTTCTACAGGGTCGAAAATGAAACAATGCAAAATTGGTGAAAGGTGAGAGTTCCACATGCTCTCAGTTGCTCAAAAAAAGGTTCTTTTTTGTGTCAGCACCACAGGCATTAAAATAGACCTCGTATATAGAAAACAGATTTGAATTTTTTGCTCAAAAGTGTTTCGAACTATTTGGTTTAACTTCAAACGTTTAGTGTTGAGATCCAAAAAAAACTTACAAAGTTGCAACTTGAACTTTGCAAAATTTTGCATTTTTCCATTTGCCACCCTACAGAAAATTTACTTAAGGAGCCTAATTTTTACCCAAACATCAACTAGCAAAAAGCAATTGGGGCTCAATAGCGCTTCAACCTGAAACGAAATCGCTTCAAGCAATCAGGATTTATCCAGTTCCAAAGTTAGAGAAAATTGTGAAGCGGAATTTATATAAATCCTGCAATTTTTCCTAAGCTCATAATAACTAAGCCCCTTGACCTAGAGGAAGAAAGTTAACACTAACTTTTCAATGGAGCTTCTCTTATTGGCTACTATCGATAGCGCTTAAAATTTTTGGTCTAAATGTGTAAAAATACTCCATAAAAGACGACATTGGCACTAGTCAAGTGGTGCAAACTTTAGTGGATTTTTCTTAATTTATGTCCATTAACCCCCTTGTATGGACGCAACCATTTTTATATAATTCCCTCACCGAAGCTTCCACCTTTGACTGTTGAAGCTCGCATTTTACTATCTCATAAATCTTTTTGTATATTTCATATACAAATTGTATTTATCATAACAATTTAGCATCATATGAGGATTGAGCCATAAAGCAAGATGATGTAAAATGGTCGAATTGCAAGCACTTTCGAAACTTTCTAAATTCATTATAATTAAACTGGCCGCATAAACGCACCGATATTTGTAGGGTGTGTTTTGGGATACTTGGATTATCGACTAGTGAAGCAAGCATTTCAAAACCTGATCTGGATATTGAGAAATTAGCCATCACAGATGATGGCGCAAAAATGGCAAAATCCCGCAAATTTTTTGAATGTTTCTAAGTTGATAACGATTCATTCAGGGAGCCGACGGTAACAAAATTCACCTCGTATCTTCGAAGACATTTCCCACATGGACTCTAGTTGCCAGCGTTCCAATTCTTGGCCCAAATAGTGATCAATGACCAATAGAGCAAAATAATGCAAAAATGGCAAAATCGTCAAATTTCGGTAAAATTTCCTAAATTGATAACAATTAATCGAATTGCGCAATCGAATTGAAATTCGCACTAGATATTTGCTGAAGCTTCTTTCTCTAACTCGTGAACCCTGCATTCGAATATCTGGGCCAAAGGCTGAGACTTGAACAATAAAAGAAGGTGTTTACATATTGGTGACCGAATAGCCAAATTGCACAAATCTTTCGAATGTTCATAAATTCATAGCAATTTATTCACGAACCGGATGGTAACGAAATTCACCTTGTATATTCGATCGTATTTCCGACATGGACTTTTGCAGCTAATGTTACAATATCTGGCCCAAATAGTGATTGATCAGCAATAAAGTAAAATGTTGTAAAAATGGCAAAATCGTCAAAATTCCGTAAAAT